CCCAGTCTCCAGAATGGTAAGAAACAATTATGTGTTGTTTAAGGCACTCAGTTTGATATTCTATTATAGTACCCTGAGGTCACAATCAGCACAGTGCCTTGGCATGTGGTTTTCAATAAATGGTAGCTATTATTATTTATCAAGATAATAACTCAGTGTCCCAAAATACATTCCCAAGTCCATCCCTTGGCGGCTCACATGTAATCCTAGCTACTTAGGAGGCAGAGATCAGGAAGATCACAGTTTGAAGCCAGTCCGGGCAAATAGTTCCAGAGACCCTATCTCAAAAATACCCATCACAAAATAGGGCTAGCAGAGTGGCTCAAGGTGAAGGGCCTGAGTTCAGTCAAGCCCCAATACTGCTAAAAAAACAAACAAACAAAAAAAAACAGACAAAAGAATACAAGAATTAGAATCAGTCAGAAAAACAAAAAAGTAAAAAACACTCAGAAACAGAGCCCATCGACATTTTGGTACATTGTCCTCCAGGTTTTTCCTGATGTCTTATATAACAGTAATTATATAAAATATACTAGTAGTACCTGCAGCTTGTGTCACTTAAATTATATATCATAAGAATTTCTCCATGTTTTTCTTCTTAACCTTGTAACCAACCAGAAAGATTTTAGCAGAACAACTTTGAAATGACACCAAGTCAAGAAATACCACTCTTTTTTCCACAACAACTACTGTAGTAAAACTGAGGCTTTCCAAAAGTTCCTAGGGCTATTGGAACCAATTAAGAAGAAACATTGGACATGCCTAGACACCTAGGAAGTGGTTAAGAAATGATAACTGGCTTTCAAGTAAGTGACAAAGAGAGCAAAACAAAATTTACTAGGGTTGTGCTGGGTGCTGGTGGCTCACATCTGTAATCCTAGCTACTCAGGAGGCAAAGATCAAGAGGATGGCGGTTCAAAGTCAGCCTGGGCAAACAGCTGGCACGACCCTGTCTCAAAAAAAAAAACATTGCAAAAAAGGGCTGGTAGAGTGGCTCAAGGTGTAAAGGTATAGCCCTGAGTTCAAACCCCAGTACTGCAAAAAAATAAAAGGAAAGAAAGAAAACATGAACAAACCAACAAAATTGCAGCATTCCTGGAATACCAGAAACAAGGGCTAATTCTCAGGAGGCTTTCTGTGTTGGTGACAAGTGATAAAGAGGCAGTCAATTAAGACTTCAGCTCTGCATACAGAGTACCAGAGTGGACACTGTCCTTGCTAAACTGAGTGTAAAAGAATGTGCTTACCCCAACTTTCTTTCAGGATCTCTTTATACTCCAGTGAAGATATTTTCATAGACTGCTAGAATTCAGAGGGTATATTCAAATATTTAAAGTTTTTATTCAACCTAACAGCATCACATCAATAGTACCTGATTCTAAACACATCTTAAAAGATAATCCAACTTTATGACTCTATACATCCTAACTTTATTCACACACATTTTCCTTTCTTTTGCCCCACTTGTGCTTCAAAAAAATTCAAAGAATTTGTGGACAAGGAATTTGCAAATATCACATCTCTAACAGCTGCTAAATTAATCCACAGCTTCTTCTGTTACATTATGTGGCCATCTCAGAAAGTATGCTTGATAAAAATCTGTTTCTTTCAAAAGAACTGATTTAAACCCATCTTACACGGCTGACTTAAGAGCAAGATCCACAGAGCTTAGGGCTGGGTGGCTGATAATTCTGTCTGGGTGTCATACTGCAATTACTTACAACTAAGATCTCTAACACCTGTTCATTCAGTGTCCCTGGCTTGTAGCACCCAGGAACAAATGTCCACCAACAAGTCATCTGGGAATGAGCAGCTGACCTGAAACACTGCATGCTTTAGGGTTAAGTGTTTCTTGTTTTTCTTAAACCACACAACAAATCTAACAATGATTACAACCATCAGGTAATTAAAAGGAATTAAAACAATATAAAATGATGGACCAGTGTAAAAATATTTCAGGAGTCCAAACAAATGCAAATAGAAAAACTAGAATATTTTCTCAAAAGTTTCCTGGATATTTTGAGTTTAAGATTCTGCTACCTTTTAGCATACAAATCATCTTATTCAGAGAATGCAAGCTATTATTGTTTTAATTCTAAATGAAACACTTCTCTCCAGGACATCAAAAGATTTGGAAACCTAACAGTAATTACTGCATAATCATTCAAAAAGACATGTGGTATAACATTTGTAAAGCTGAATTGCACCTGTCATCAATTCAACAAAGGGATATTTTATATACAAATGACACAGTTCTGAAAATTTGATAATTAGGTTAAATTGATCCATAATAAGAATTTCACTGTTGGGGGTTGTTGGTGTGGCTCAAGTGATAAAGTGCCTGCCTAGCAAGTGTGAAGCTCTGAGTTCAAATCCCATACTATCCAAAAAAAAAAAAAGAATTTCACTGTCAAATGGAATAACTAACTAAAAAATGTACTAACACAAATTGGGGATTCCTAAATTTAAAACACAAGGGATATCACTCTGGCTGAGTTATTAATCTCTCCATACTTGTTTTCTATCCATATAATGGGCAAAACAATAGTAGCAAACTCTTATTAAGAGTTATCAATATTAAACAAATTAATTCACATTAAATTTGCATTGCAGAGCCCAGCAAAGAGTAACTAGCAAAGAAATATTTACTGTATTAGGAACAAACATTTTTTAAATAAATATGTAATAACAATTGAAGAGAATAATCCTAAAATCTAAAAGAGATAGCTGTCATGAGCTATGGAAAATAAAGTTTTAAGATATCAACCAAAAATGTGTGCTAAAAAAAAAAAAGAAAATAGGAAAAGGGGAACAGGTACTAGAGAAAAGGTTAGATCAAAAAGAATTAACCTAGAAGGTAACACCCACGCACAGGAAATCAATGTGAGTCAATGCCCTGTATAGCTATCCTTATCTCAACCAGCAAAAACCCTTGTTCCTTCCTATTATTGCTTATACTCTCTCTTCAACAAAATTAGAAATAAGGGCAAAGTAGTTTCTTCTGGGTATTGAGGGGGGGGAGAGGGAGGGGGCGGAGTGGGTGGTAAGGGAGGGGGTGGGGGCAGGGGGGAGAAATGAACCAAGCCTTGTATGCACATATGAATAATAAAAGAAAAATGAAAAAAAAAAAAGAAAGAAAAAGAAAGCTACATCCTTGAAAGTGGATTAATGCATACTACCACCTTGATTCCTGTCATGTGGTTTTTACAAAATTTTACTTTTCCTCCTATGATCTGCAGGTAAATCTCAGCACTTAATAGCAAAAAAACCACAAAACTGGGCCCTCAGAATAGGCAAAAATCAGAATTAAGGGCATGCAAAGCCCTCAGTATTTTCTAGTTTTTTAACAAACGACCAAGTTGAAATTCATTCCTGAAGTAAACCGTCAAATGTTTCTGCCATAAAAACTGCAAAGTTTCATGTGAACAAACCTCTTCAACAATAGGGAGTTGTTTCAGTCTGTGAATAGGGCAGTGTCAGTGTGACCAACACAGTGGGAGCTGGACATTCCTGACACTCTGTGTGTCCTGGCTAGCCTTTGGTCACTTATACCTCCCAAATGCATTTGGTTTTGGAAGTAACTTTCAGGCAAAGCACATGGTCACCACCTACACACCGAGACTTCTCTCAGAGCCACTTTCAGCGCCTGGGCCAGGCCCTCACTTTTTACTACCTCCATTCTGAGCATCCAAACAGAATATGCATCAAACAGAAAAAGGCTTTGTTTTCCTAAATATGCCCACCCCCACTCCCACAGTCCCTTGGTGTTTTGATTTGTTTTTGTCTTGCTTTGTTTTTCAAAAATATGAAGGGATGGCTGAGGCAACGAAGCCAAAGAACAAATGACCTAAGGGCTGAAAAAGGTTCAGGTTTGGTTACCTGGGAGCAAGAGTTGTTGAGCAATTGCCTGACCGAATCACCACTTACTTCCCTTAGCTACCCCTAGCAACAAGCAGGTTTCCAGGCTTGTTGCTTGTTTCCCACCAACCTATATCTACCCCCAGTCTGTAAGCGACAGTAGGCTCTAGTTCTCTCGCTGGAGAACCCCTCCGCAGGTTCCTTTTCTCAAATAAAACCTGCGCTGATGGAGCCATTTCTCTCCTATCCTTTTTTCAGTCTAACAGTGGGGCTGCACTTTAAGTAAACGTGGTTTGACACCAACTCTATAAGCAGTTTTGAAAACGACTCCGTTGGACTCTGAGAACGGGTTAACAAACCTCACCTCACACAGCTGTTGAAAAGACTAAACAAGTTAAGGCCTTCAAGGTGCCGCATATGTGCAGAAATACTCAAGAAATGGAAACTATCAAAGTGCTTCTGTCCAACTGACCAGAGAAACACTGTCTCGCGGGAATTCCAAACAGTGGGAAAGATGACCAAAACTTTCAAGTTCATCAGGATGTCCTGATCAAAACGGTCCAGATGCTAAGTTTCTCAGAGTGCCCTATCTACGCGTCCCAAACGCTAAGCATTCAAGTTCATTAGAGTCCTGATCAAAGCGGCCCAGATCACATTTGGAGGTAAGGGTCTGCTCCACCGGCTGGAGACAAAGAAGGCCTCCGGTACGCAGTTTTCCCTCTGGGAAGGAGGCCGGCGGCCCCTCAGCTCCTTTGTTGGCGGCAGGAGAAAAATGAGCAGCAGACCCCAGGAGGGCGGTGACCGAGGGGCTACAGGCCTCGGGGTCACCCCCTCGCTGGTACCACCGTCCATGCCCGGCCCCCGCGGTTTCCCAGAAAGTTCACGCACCCTCGCGCCGCTGTGTGTGTCGCCAAGGCCGGGTCCCCAGCCGGGTCGGCCCCACCTCGGTAGAAGTAGGCAGGAGACGGGGCCCCGGTCGGACCCTGGCCTGAGCTCGCGCCGTCCCTCTGGCCCCGGACCCCGGAGTCCCTGAAGCCGTGGACCGCTATTTGCCCAGACCGGGCAAAGTCAGCCGCTGAGGCCCGCTCTGCGCCCATCGCCCCTACATCCTACTTTCCAAGAGCGGAAGCACACTAACTCACCCCGAAAAAGCAGCAGCAGGAAAAGGTCGGGTAGCCGGGCACAGACCCGCAGCGCTTGCCGTCGCCTCAGCGCCATGTCTAGGGTAACTGAGGGGCCCGCCAGCGCTCCGCGCCGCTCACCAGCCCCCGCGCATGCGCCCAGCCTACCAGGACCCGGTGACCCACCTCCAGTTACCATAGCGACCACGTGGCCGGGCTGAGCCGGTACCATGGAGATAGAGGAAGCTGCAGTCTGGTTGCTATGGATACCGCGATGCTCCAGATCTGGCCCATGGGATCTCTCTCAATGAATTTAGTGGGAGGAGGGTAAGGAAGCGTGCCAGGGAGTGGGGCGCATTTCTATAACTGTAGCATGAATCCATCTCTACAAGTCTAAGAAGGAATATGCCATTAAAAGTGGGAAATGAGAGCTGGAGGTGTGGCTCAAGTGGTAGAATGCCTGCCTAGGAAGTCTAAGGACTTGAGTTCAAACCCCACTACGGCAAAAAAAAGTTTTTTAAGCATAAAAATTAAAAATGAGAAATTAGTGGTTTTTTGTTTTACAAATGAGCATGTAGCACAGTTATCTTGGAAGCATTTTTGTCTTCACACCTTTAGAACCCACCCTTCCAAATATGATGGAAGGAAAGAAAAAGCGCTGAAATAGCTTAAATCATTAGCAAGACAAATGCTACATGGTACATGAAAGCAATATCTTGCTAAAATAAACAGAATTCATCTCTGTGGTAGATGAAAAGCATAATTGTATACCAAATAGTACATCCTGCAGAATAGCAGGCAAGTTCTTTGCTCTGAATTCCGAATATTGGAAGATGGTAAGGCTAGCAAAGAAAAATGAAACAGGATCTTATGAAGAGAAGAATAAAGTGAACCGGAAATTGGATGGAAGGGGGCAGGAAGATTTGAAGTGTCCCTTGATACTATGGAAAATCTTTGAAGAGCTTGCATCCTATCTAAAGTAGAAAGAATATTCCTAGTGCTCCCAGAAACATCCCTAACGTTCCCATAGTAACAACAGAATTTTAGTCTAGCTATTAGTAAAATATGCTCATTTCCAAAAACCAATATTTTTCAATACTTAACATAAGGACTTCAATTTTGCATACAGTCATCTTACATTTCCTTAGTATTTTATTTTTTGAAGAGTAGCATTACATATATTATATATACCATACATGTGAGTTATTATAAAGGCCAGGAAACATGGAATAAGTTGAGGTTATTGTCAAGAATATGCCTCAATTTCCATCATTATCTAATCTTCTTTATAAATCTTTATAACTACTCAAACCTGTGATTTAACTACCTCCCCCCACAAATCACATAAAGTTAGAATAAAATTTTTTAAATAACTCAATAACCTGTTATGTTTCTATTCACCTTTTCTTTCCCAAACCTTCTTTCAATTTCAGGTCACCACGTACCAAAGTCATAAATAAATGTGAGTAAAAGTTATTTCATAATGGTGGCCCTCTCCCTTCATTAAACACAAAATAGAGAAAATGAAAAGACAAATATTCTGCTTAGGACCACTGATTTGTTTTCTGCTCTGTCTTTTCTCTCTGATCACATGATCAGGCATATTTATCTAACTGAAGAAGTCATTTCGTTATTTGGGAAATGTGAGATGGTATCTGTGGACAGAGTACAGTTTTCAGAAACCAAAGCCTCTTTCCCCCTGCTGGATTTTCTGTGTTTGCATTATGAAATGGTTCTTTCTGTTAAATGGTCTTCTCTTTTAGGAAATCTTTTGAACTCAGGCAGAGATCACAAAGAAAGACTTCATGAATATTCTATAAGGGGCATAAGTTCCTGGGAGAGAGTATGGCAGGTGCTTCATTGTAAAGCATTGGTTTTCCTTCACAGATGGAGTTCACATGTCATTACTGATGGCTGAGAAACATTCCTGGAATGGAAGTGTAACTAGGGATGCAGCAAAGCAGGGAAACACATGTGACTGTGAAGTGGCCTGTTCCTCCTTAGAGTTTCATTGTTCCTTGGAGAGCTCTGGCCCTGACTAAAAGGGAATCAGAGTTCAATGAGATCACAGCAAGGTTTTGGAAGTGTTCAACAAGCAGAGCTGTGGAGTCTGGGCCTTTCCCACTATGCTCATTTCTAATGTGTGGCCTTCTAGAGAAAGGTACCTTTCTTAAAAGAACTCAGGGAACTAAACATGCATGTACTGAACTTCAAAGCATTTGCAATACTGACCAGTGCAAACACCAAGTGCCAATCAAGAGTGGCAAAGAACAGGCTTCCCATGAGACTTGCCTCTGAGCAGACTAGAGGAGTCTTGTTTTTGTAGCCTTGGGAAAGTTACTTAACTTCCCTAAGCCTTGGGTTCCTGATTTGTAAAATCCAGTTAACAGTACTCCCCTCAAGGAAATGACTATGAGGTTAAATGCCTGAAATATACTAGGTGCTCAGTAAATGTTTACTGCCTGGGCCCCTTCCCTTTCCCACTATTTTGGCTCAGATCAGGTGAAAAATCATAATATTCCTGGATAGTCTTGATAAAGAAAAAGAAATTCAGGCCTGAAGGAAGGCACAAAGGAATGAGAAGCTAAGAGGGGAGGTTTACATCAATGAGTGTTTACTCTCTTGGTTTATTCTTAAAAAGCAAAACAATCACGGCCTCTGTTCCTTCTCTATGTCATGAAACCCCTGAAAAATCACCTGAAATCAATCCTCACAGCATGAGAGAAGTAGGGCCCTTTGCCTGAGGAGGCCTCTACCCCCAAAGTTGTTCCATTAAGACATTCCTCTGAAGAACGTGTAGATTGCCTGGTCATATGTTTCTGTTGCTCCATTTCCCCTCTCTTCAATTCTCAGCTTCCCTGCAACACCTCCCACTACTTTATCCTAAACCATCTCCTCTTCTTTGTCTTCAAAGTATTTCTTTAATTTTATTTAAATAGGAGAACCCCTCTTCCACCTATCTAATGAATGAGTAACAGACACAACCTCCATCTCCATCAGTAAGAAATAAAACACTTCAATTTATTTACATTTCCTTTTTCTTTGTAGTGGTTCAGTTGGAAAAAGGTCATACTGGTGCCAATTTTTTGTCAAGTGGCTTCCTAGAGAGAGGCTTTCATCAATATCTACTTAATAAAACTTCCACAGGAGGCTAGAAGTATGTCTACATGTGTGCATGAATGTGTGCTTTATGCTAGGGCAGGAGTTGATGGAGGAGTTGCACCTCCATCAACCAGGGGCTCTGCACTCCCCAGTGCACATTAAAACACAGCACCATGAGCAACAGTGGACAATACTATACATAATAGATGTCCCCTGACCCAATATTTATCGCCTTACGGCTGAGGTTCTTAAGAATTATGAACTTCAAGTTGCAGTAAACAATATCCCCATGCTACCTTTACCAGGGTGTCTGCCTCAAGTTTTTCTTTGAGGCTTGGGAGAAGCAAGGCTTGCCTGGAGGCAATGTAGACACCATACAAGGGGTGTCTGGGACAGCTAGTAAACAACAGTCCCCAGATCCTCAAGAGGAAAGACACCCTGGAATGAGATAAAACAGACCAGCTCTTTTTTTCCTCTCTCTCCAAATGGCCTGTTGAATACTTCCTGTTGGACTGAGGAGAAGGTGGAAAACTATTTTCATAAACAGTGTCTCAGTCTGGGGCCACTGGTAAGGCTCACAGACACAGTGCTGCATGAATTGCCCTGAGCTAAACCCAAGAGCACCTTGGAGCCTCTGGGTAAGGCAGGGTGGGGCAGTTCCTGACCTGGGCGAACCAGGTAGTTCCCTGCTGCCTCTATATGCTCCAGTTGTATTCCTCCAGCATGCTTGCAACTACTTTGTTTACAGAGTGAAGATATTTTTATCCCAGCCCTCCAATTAGAGGTAATTTTCTCTCCTCCCAAATTGCACCATCGGGTGTTATCTTCCTGGTGGCACTAGAGAGAGACAGGGGAACTTCAGTGTTACCTTCTTCTTTTATGGGAATCTTGCACCTTAAGCAGAGCCCCTGCTACTGCCAACCCAGTATTTCAGGGCTTTGGGATGGGGCAAGAGCTTGCAGAAGACACTGGATCAAAGGTTTGGCACGGTAAGAAGTGTTGCTCAGACACTTTCCAGAGACAGGGAGGACTTTTTTTTTTTTTTTTGTGGTTGCCATTAAGAGACTTTGGATAGCCTGTGGTAAGACTGTAAACAGCAGGTATTCTATTCCATTTCCTATGTCCCTAACATGACAGGGAAGCCTGTTTCCTAAATATTACTCAATACCATGCCTCCCAAGCAAGTGAATAAGGGCTCTGATTACCACTCTGGATCTTCTCTTGAATATCGTAGGATTATATTCCCACAAAATATAGGATGAGGCGAAGTGGATAGTGTCAGAATGCTCAAGGTGCTCAACAGACTTCCTCCAGCAGAGATGCCACTCATTCCTGTGAAGGACAGATAACTTGAATCACTCATGTCTTAAGAACACCTGTGCCTTGGCACTCTTCGTACCCTGCGACCCTGGATAGCTAAAACAAATGTTTTGTTTTCCAGGAAGGCATTGTTCTCTCTAACTAACTACTGCCCAGGATAGGCCACAGGAAGGAAATAGGAAGCTCTGGGAAGCTTTGAGACACAGATTCTTCTCACACACTCCTCACAAGGAGACAGTGCCATTTCTGGCCTAATGCAAATCTCACCATTTTTCATCTAGATTGCTAACATGGTCATAGGGATCTCCTTCTGTAACTGGACTTTTAAATTTTGTGACTAGAACAGTACCTAGGACAATAATATGTGCTCAACAAGGTATCTTCTTTTTCCCTTTCAGGTAGAGTTTTGCTATGCAGCCCAGGCTGGCCTCAAACTCATGATCCTCCTGCCTTAGCCTCCTGAGTGCTGAGATTATAAGCATTCCCAGCACCAACAAATATTTTTAGAACAAATGGATGTAAAACTCCTGTGTCCTGCAGAACCAATATCTGATAAGCATCATACTTAAAATTCTTGAGTGGTTACTTATGATCTATAAAATATGACTCTTAGTATGACTGAAGACATCATGACCGAAAAACAAGCCTGTGTTCATAAGCACACAACTTCAGCATCTCATACTCACCCTTGTCAATTCCCTTGAATCCAGTCATTCTGAGCTAGTTGTCTGGCTCTCATAAACCACTAAAGTGGTCGGTTGCCTAACTCCACCATGCCCACCACTTCAAATGTCATGTTCTCATGGAAGA